TGAAGAAAACTGAACAAGAAATCAGCAAGCTCATGAGGCTTTCATTTTCACAGGAAATAGTAACACCCAAAGATATACAAGTGAAAAGTGGTTGTGGTGTTGAGATGGAATGATGAGAAGACAAGAATTGCTTGGAATGAGCAGGAGGTCAGCAGCAGTTTAGAAAACTGCTAAACAAGAATGGTTTTACAGGGCTGGRGATGTGGCTCATGGTAGAGTGCTAAGTCTAGTATGCATGAGGCCCGGGGTTCCATCCTCAGCACCACACACACAGCAGAATAACTTAATAGTGCTCCCTCTCCCAGAAGGGAAGAAGTTCCATTAATACCCCTCAAAGACTCAGAACCAAGGTAGCTAACAAAGCACAATATCACATACACACACCTGGAAAGTAAGTTTAACTAATGGAATATATCTGAAAACAAACTTTTAACAAAAAAATTAAAGGGATTTTTTAGTATCAAATAGCTTTCTTAATTTTAGGGTTCAATTTTACAATAAAGGCTTCTGTTTGAACAGATAGTAGTTAAAGCTTCCCTTTCACTAAGAAAAGCCCAATATGACTACTAATCAATTTTATCATCTCCCAGTAAGCAGTTCTTAGCAATGCATACATTTATTTAAACAGTTCAAGAGCACTAAAAGGTGTTAGGTACAATGTGAGGCAGTGACTATACAGAAATAAATGGCAGACTCTGACCTCAAGGAGCTCACAGTTTAATCAGAAGATAAACACTGTACTAATAAGCAAGTGTTAATAAAGGTAAGTGAAAGGTCAATGAAGCTCAAGTCCAGATTTGGGAGGTGGTTCTAAGCAGCCTAAAATACTAGTATGTTTAAAGCACAAGAGCCTGAGAACACAATAACTAAAAATTTCCCAAAACCCATTCCTGAGATGGAAACAACATTAATCCCCACCATTACCAATTAACTGAGATTACCCATAGCACCTAGACAAATCTTAGGCTAACTAAAATATCTTCACTTCAAAAAGGCCAATGTATTCTCCTTTCAAAACTTTTATGCTTTCACCAAAAAATCCAGTTTAAGTCAACAAAAAGGAAGAATTATGTTAAAACAAAGCAAAAGCAACAGATGAAAAAAATTAAGTATTTGCCTGAATAATACTTTTAAATTGTGATGTCTCTGCTTCACCGGACACTTAGTACCACTTGACATTCTTTGAAGGAGGAGAGAGAAGACAACCTGCATCTTTTGAGGCTTTAAAAATAATTCTATAAGTATCTCAGGCAACAGCATGTTCAGTRTGGCTTCTAAATTAATGTATATCTGAATATAAGAACTCTGGGGGTTACCTAGTCACTTAATATTTCTTGAAATAGCTGCACACAGTTTCGTTAGGAATGATATACCAATTGAACTTTAAAAAAAAAAAAAACTGGGGATTGAACAGACGCACCTTACCACTGAGCCAGCCCTTTTTATTTTTTATTTTGAGGCAGGGTCTAAGTTACTGAGGCTGACCCTGAACTTGTGAACCTCCAGAGTTTCTTGGATTACAGGCATGCACCACACCACCATATGTAGTGCTAACTGTACTTTTAAACCTCATTAGGACCATATCCTGAATATATGATTCTTAGATATCCTACCTTAAAGAGTCAAAATTTTCTCAATCAGAATACATCCCTAAAATACACAGGATTTATACCAATATATACTTTAAACATCTTTTCAGGAAAATATCTATATGGAAATGAAATAAAAATATAATGTTGCCATATGCTCTTGTACAAAAAATTTCAAGGCAGGATATATACCACACACACACACACAGTCAGCTAATACTCAAATATTRCCTGAAGTGTGTACTTTCACACTTTGCAGCACCTTAACTTCTGAGTAATTAAAACTCAGTGAATGTCTTCCAAAAACAAACGGGTTGACAAACAATGGCTATGGGTCACATGGAGGTACAGCCTGTTCTTAGAAATAAAATTTTATTGCAATACAGCCCCAACATATTTTTCTATGGCTCTTTTAAATCAGTTATCATGCTACAGATTGCAGAGTCCAGTTGTTATGAAATGAGATTATATGGTCCACAAAGCCTACATAGTAACTATTTGGTTGTGTACAGAAAAAGTCTTGTCAATCCTGGTCTTAAAACAATCACAACAATTTGACAAATGTATCTAGCCTGGAATGAAATGCTGAATATAATGCAAGATTCAATTAATTCTTTCCCCAAATATCCAAGTACAAGACCAAACAGAAGCAAGCCTCTGCTAATTCATTTCAAAATCACATAACTGCCAATCCTGAATAAAAATTAAACTTCAAAAGCAAATAGTGAACTTAGCCCTCTTAATTTCTTAAAAACTGATACTACACTGAGTCAAGATGCAAATTCCCTGTGCTTCCACTGTCACCAATTTATTTACCCATCAMTAGCAACCATATTAGTTACTCCTTTACTCCTTACTCTGGTACTCAGAACCCACACACATCCAGCCAATAAACTAAGCAGGTCAGTGTCTTTGTAAAAATTTATTTGCACCTTTCACGACAGAATGATAGTAAGTAAAGCATTCAAAATCTATTCCTGATGTATTTATTTAGCCTTTTCTGAGATTACTAGACAAGCACAGAAAAATCCCAGAGCTCAGATGGGTGAAATGGACCTACAGTCCCAGAGCTGAAGGACTGCTTGAACCTAATCACTGAAAACGTAGCCTGGGCAACAGAGAGAAATCCTCTCTAAATGAATAAATACCTAAAAATAAAAAATTCAAAGCTGCTATATGGGTCATATAAAATAATCCCATCCAAGAAAGGTGTTAGATGTATTTGCTGTTCTTAGAATGAGAATATTAAATAAGCAACACTAATTGATTTTATCAACCTATTCAACAATAAAACCTGCCTTAAGTATTCTAGGTATCAAACAGTTTTTGTTTGGTTTTAATTTTAGCTATATACTCTTATAACTAACATTGTAAAGGGCTAGGGTTTAGAAAACAACACATTACTATTAAGAATATGTATTAACCTTTTTTTATGATTGTATCTGCCCTTTTATTTTGAAACAATGTCTAGCCTATTTGCCCAGGCTGGCCTACAACTGGGAATTCTCCTTCTTCAGCCTCTGAGTAGCTGGTAATACAAGTATGTGCCACATGCCCAGCTTTAACATGCCATAATACCCTAATATTTTTATTAACTGTAAGTTATGCTTAAGTAAAAAGTTTACCAAATTATCTGGGATAATATTTTTACTGTGTGTGGGTGTGTGTATGTGTGTTGTGGAGGATGAAACCCAAGGCCTTGTGCATGCTACTCAAGCACTCTACCAGAGCTATATCACCAGTTCTTTACATATCATTATCATAACTGATTCAACCATACAAAACTAATACAAAAAAAAAACTTTAAATAATTTATTTACCAATTACTTTTCTCCAGTTGATAAAGGAGAGAATGCAAATTTCTAAATAAATACAATAAAAAAGACCCTGCATGATATATCTAAAGCATGTTTCTACCCCTAAGTGCTTAACCAAAGATGYATCAATAGCCTGGTACCCTTGACAATACCGATGTAGTCGAAAATTATTATGTTAACGTTAAGTTTATATTAAGCACTTAGCAAGGCCAACAGGATGCTGAAGTAATCACGGTGAAATTAAATGAGTGATTTTCTAGTTGCATACCATTTCCCTGCCCTTGTGAATCTCTTAGCTGTTCTGAATTAAAAGAAATCGGGAAAAAAATATATTTTAGAGAACAATCAAGTGACAGTTTACCAAAAATCACAAAATATCAGTCGTTTCCTGCTTTTTTTTTTTTTTAAAAAAAGATCAGACTTTGATCCTCTTTTTCACTTGCAGAGTATTAGCAAAAGAAAGTCCTAAGGAACTACTGAACCTAAATCATATTCTCAAGGCTCAGTTTGCTCATGAAGTTCATTTACGTGACTACCAATTTATGTGAGCAAGAGGGGCAAATTAGTACCAGGCCTAGGACAACCACTGGACCTGATCTTTAGAAGGCATCCTGGCAAAAAAAAAAAAACAGAAACCCCACCCAGTTCTCAACTTCCTTGGCTTTTCCAGTCCCGGTTTTCTCTCGGTAAAACCCAGAAAAGCAGAACTTCCCCCTCGCTGCCTGCCTCCATCTGAGGCCTGGTGCAGAAATTCAGACCGCTAGCTATCCAAGTACCTCCTTAAGGTAGTCTTAAGGCTCAAGCCCGCTCACAGACAGTAGAGGGTCTGCTTTCTTGGGTTAAAGGAGGGCGACTACAGGGTTTGGCGGCCRGGTTTGTCAGGAAGCGCAGGGCCGAGCGGGACTGAGAATCCAGAGGCTGAGCTCCATCGAGTCCCAGGAACCACCCCCAGGGGAGGCTTGGCTGCCTTCGGTACTTCCCTGCCTCCTCCGCTCGTGGGAGGAGAGCGGTAGGTTGGGGCCAGGTCCCCCTGAGCTACTTCCTGGACCCAGCGGACTCGCCTCCGGACACTCGAGACGCCCCCGGCCCGGCTCGCTCGCCCTTTGCCCTGTCTCCTCCCCTTCAGTGACCCACCACCACAGGTCCCCTCCCATCTAACATGGCCGCCCCACCAGGCCCACCCCCTGCACAGCCTAACCAATTGGGGGGCCCATGGCACCGCCTCCCCTGTGCCTATTGGTACGGAGTCCTCCTCCCGCCTTTCCCATTGGGCAACATCGGATGCCATTCAGCTCTGAGAGCTCCGCCTCCGAGCCGCTACAAGCTGCTTTGAGAAGACATATAAACAAATCCCGAGAGGGAGGCCCCGCTCGCCTGTCGCCTCTGGGGCGGGGACGGAAGGGGGTGCGGCCACCCCCCGAAACACTCCTGCCAGGACCCCCCACCCCAGCCCGCGCCTCCCCGTCTCCTGCCAGCCGGGCTCCAACCTCCGCGGCCCGGCCCTTCTCCACACGCCCCTCTCCTCCTCCCCCGCCAGCGTCGCCTCCCTCCCCTCCCAGCCCCTCCCACCCGCTCGCTGCTCTGACAGGCCGGTTGCAGGCAGCCGTGGCCCGGGGCTCCGAGACAGCGGAGAAGGGCCCGGCGGACCCCCGGCGTTGCCCACCCCCGGCCTAGCCTGCCGCCCGCCCGCGGGTCCCATCCACCGCTGCCCAGTGCTTTTATGTAACCGTCCCGGGCCAGAGTGGGGGAGGGGAGCGGAGCCCCCGTGACCAGCAGGCGGCCGCCCGCGCTCCGCGCGACCTCAGCCCGAGCCCCGGTCCCCGCCCCGCGCCGGCCCGGCCCAGAGCCCCGGCGCTACTGCCTCCTAGGCCAGMGGCCCTCCTCCGCCCCCCGGCCGGTCCCCCAGCCCAGAGCCCTACGAGCCCCGGACGGCGGGCAGCGGCACTTACCTGTAAGTGAGGGGGCCGCTCAGGGGCTGGGTCCGGTTCCACTGCAGGGGCCGCGGCCCCTCTCCATGCTGCCTCGGGTTTGTTTTGTTTATGTCCTTCCTGACGGGTTCCCGGAAATCGCGTGACTCGCCCCCCTCACGTGGGCCGCGGCGAGGAGGAGGAGGGGGGCGGAGGCCCGCCGGCCTCGGGCCAATCGCAAGGCGTTCTGAAGTTCGGCCAATCGGGGCCGCGGCCCGGCCGGGCACCCCTGTCACGTGATGCCGGAGGGGCGGGTTGCCGGGGAAAAACCAGGAAGAGCGGGTGTAGCGGGGGCTGGTACTTGTAGCTGCAGCGTGGGCGTGGGTTGTCGCCGGTGTGAGTCACGCTCTCACGTTCTTAGAGGATGTGCCTTTTTCAGAAGCYTTCCTACCCAGCGTTTTATCCGGTTGCAAAACTACGCAGCGGGGCCTGAAGTGTCAGTTCGCGCATTTTACAGTTTTAGTTGCCCGAAACTTGAAGGGTTAGGGAACATYGACGTTTTATGAGTGGCCTTCCCATTCTCCCAAAGACTGACCTTGCCTTCAGTTCGTTCATTGATTCACGGATTCAACTCACATTTATTGAGCAAGTATCCCCAGACCCAGGGATCAGCTTGACTGAGTGCACTTAATAAGAGAGAACCATATGCAACTGTACAAACAATACTATTAGCTGCACCGRGGAAAACGGGCATTCGTAATACCTGTTCCTGAGCGGTTTTTGTGCTTCTAATTAGACTCCTCGATGAGCACATGCAATAGTAGTAACTTATTTCTTAAGGAAGTAAGACTAAGAGGGATTATTCACCCAAGGCCAGATAGCTGGTAAATCACCTGGCTAGTACCAGAACCTAGGTCTGTTGGCACCGCTCATGCTTCCAGAGTGCACTCAATGCGCCCCCGCCCCCTTACTGGGGGTTGAACCCAGGGCTTCAACCATGCTAGAAACAGTCTACTACTGTTAGATCCCAGGCCCTTTTTATTTTTTTTATTTTTTTGAGACAAGGTCTTGCTAAACTTGCCCCCAGGCTGGTCTCAAATGTAGGATCCTCATTCCTCAGCCTACCCAGTAGCTGAATCACATAGGTGTGTCCCACTGGGCCAGCCTTCTTTAATACTTCTTGTGGGCACAAAAAWTTTTTAACCTCTATGAGCCCCAGTTTCCAACCTATGTAAGTAACTTATGGTGTTGATGTGAGAAGTAACTGAAATATCCCTATAGAGCACTTATCATAGTGCCAGCATATAGTTAGGTGAGGGATGGCAGGGTCATTATATTGCTTCCAGGACATCATTTGGAACACTAAACAGCAAGAAAGGCAACTCTAAACATTAGCAGTTTGACAGCCACTAAAATAATAGTTCTGTACACAAAATTAATAGATAGGAGTATGTAGACAGACACCTATGAGGAGGGTAGAAGAGTGCATCTCTCCTCTGAGTTCCCCACGAGGCCCAGCACACAGTAAGGCCTCAGGACCCTGTGAAGCAAATGAGTATTTATTGCACAGAAAGTGGCAGGATTGTAATTCGTCTCTTTGTTAAGTCTAACAGAGACCACATTCCAATTTTCCACAGCAACTGGAGTTTAAAATCAAAACCTGAATTGAAGAACTAGTTTGGGAAGTTTGAGCCAGGTTCTATGACTTGTTCACATGATTCTTGCATTAAACCTCCATGGAGGGCTGGAGATTTAGCTCAGTCATAAAGCACTTGCTTAGCAGGTGTGAAGCCTTGGGTTCAATTCCCAGTTCTGAAAAAAAAAATCTCTCTTTATGGACTACATCACTGACTGTCCTCTCTTCTGTTACTACAGCTGGAAAATCTTCAGCAGATGGCTCACTTTTCCCTTGCAACACTCCCCTGTAGACACTGCCTTTGCACCTTGGTTGCCGTGGAAAGGACAGAGCTCAAGGAGACCTTTCCATCAAGGTTTGTTAATGACTGTTGCTTGCTCTGAAGTGAATGAAATCAGGGCTCCTAATTGATTTGTGTTTCTCTGGGTTTTATCCAATCAGATTCTACCACAGTTAAAGTTGGCAGGAACTTGGGACTCTGGGACAGCATTGGCTTGAGGTTCAGGAGGCTCCTCTTGTTCTAGCCACAAAGTGTAACCAACTGGCGTTGCCACTTCCACCTTGCTCCTGGGGAATCATTTACACACTGGTGTAACCTGAGTCAGAAAGCCATGCCATACACCATTATGAGATAATGGGGAAAACAGAGCAGTGGAGACTTAGGGTGTCACCGAGTTCTTTAAAAATATATTTATTTTTTGATTAGGTAACACATTTATGGTACAAAATTCTAAAACATATTAAGTGGATATTAAGTCTCCCTCCTCCCAATGTTTCTTGCCACTCATTTTTCCTTCCCAGTTACCACCCTCTGGGAATCTTTCCAGATATTCTCTGGATATGGAAAATTTCATCCACTTCAAACCTTGATGTGTGGGAGACTGAGACAGGTGGATTGCTTGAGCCTGGGGATTCAAGGCCAGCCTAGGCAACAGAACAAGACTGGCTCTCAAAAATAAAATAAACCTTGATGAGTTTGGAAGACTGCTCTTGGAGCCATGACCTGATTTGAGCTCTGTCACTGTAAGATGCCCTCTTCTCCATGAGGAATCTGGACTAGAACTAGATGTTCTTGAAGATCCTTCTAGCTTTATCAGTGACCCTACATCTTTAAAGAATTGAAACAGTTGCTGGGCATGCAGTACAGCTGGGAGCTTCAGAGCCGCAGGGGAAGCAGTTAAGAGAAGTCTAAAACTCAGGCCTTGCAAAAAAAAAAAAAATTAAATCTTAAAAAAAAAAAAAAGTTGCCACAGGTCCTCACTTTCCTATGGCTGAGTCCRCAGTGTCTAAGTCCTAATTAAAGCCGCCTGGGCCTGCCTGCTGGTTCTAGACAAGCTTTTCAAATGAGTGTCACCTCTGTGGGCCTGTTTTCTTTCCAGACCCTTCTGGACCTGTGTGATATGTTCAGATTTCACAGCTTCAGAAGTGAGATTAATTAACTCGAAGCTGGAAGATCTCCAGGAAAAGCTGTGTCCCTCTGACACTAAACACAGAGCTTCTTCCTGAGAAGAAGGGACTATTGCTGAGGGTGAATGTAAAAGAGACTCATTGACTGTCACCCATTGGCACCCATCCCTCATTCATCTCACCCAAAAAATGTTCTTTGGAGGAAGAAGAAAAAATTCTTCTTCTGATCACTCAGTAGAACAGTGTTCTTTATGTGACAGGTCTGAGCCTTGGATTCTGAGGCTTTTTTTTTTTTTTTTTTTTTGATACTGGGGCACTTTATCACTGAGCTACATCCTGGCCCTTTTTAAATTTTTTTAATATTTATTTTTTAGTTTTAGGTGGAAACAATATCTTTACTTTACATTTATGTGGTGCTGGGGATCAAACCCAGTGCCTCCTGCATGCCAGCACTCTACCACTGAGCCACATCCCAACCCCCTGGCCTTTTTATTTTTTGAGATAGTGTCTTGCTATGTTGTGATCCCCCTGCCTGAAGCTCCCGAGGTGCTGGGATAGCAGACATGTGCCACCATGCCTGACAAGCCTCGGTTTCTTTTCCCAGAAAGCACCAGATTCAGTCCCAAGTGTATCACTTATTAAGAATTTCTCAACACCCCACCTCATCCACCAGCACCAAGCCTGCCATGGGATAGAAGCAGGCTGTGGTGTAAAGATAAAGATCCAAATCCTGTTCCCTTGGTGGCTCAAGATCCCTCTCTTTCATAGAATCTGGTTCCACCATGTCTGCTGCTTGCTTGTTTTGGCAGGGGAGGAAGGGGTATTGGGGATTGAACCATGGAGTTCTTTTTTTAAAAAAATTTTTAAATTTTCAGATAGGGTCTTACTAAATGCCCAGGCTGGCCTCAGATTTGCAATCCTCCTGCCTCAGCCTCCTGCATTGCTGGGATTAGAGGTGTGCGGTCCCTAATGCGTACATAGGTCCCTAATGAAGACAYAGTCCTTGCACTAAAGGAACTGAGAACCCAGTGAGGGAGACTGACACGGAACCTGACCACATGACAAGAGTTCATAAGAAGGGCGCTTGGTGCCTTAGAAGTGGGACATGTGTATTTCAGTGCCACTTCCCTGCTAGCTTGAGTAAGTAGCARGTCTGCCTGATCCTTAATTCTGATCTAGCTTGCATCACAGGTTGATTTTGAAGATTAAATCACTGCTTGGGGCATAAGAGATGCCCCCTCCTCCACTTTCCAGGAAGGAATGTGACTGGAAGCTTCACAAAGAGAAGCAGCCAAGGGACAGCATGGCCAGAAGTCGGAAGGCCACTTAACGTCCTGTCATCTTCCAAGGCAGTCCTTCCAAAACCGTTTAGGCTCTTTCACTGACCAAAAAACTTGTCCGATGCCAAATCGTGTCTGGTTTGGGGTTTTTGAGCTTTGCTCTGTTTTCGTGAGCTGGGCTGACGCTCACAGTCAGTATCAGCAGCTATAACTGATAGCAAACCAGGAAGCCAGGCAGGAGAACAATCCAGTGTTTGTTATAGGAAAGACTCCCAGAGGACAGGTACAATAAGACATTCTGTAGTGAGGCCAGAAGTAGGGTGATAAAAAGAGAAAGTGGAGGGATGGTGATAAGCAGCAGGAACTGAGACCTGCAGCCTGATAACAGCTTATTGAACTGCAATGGGCAGCACAGGACAGAGCCCAAGGCTGTGCGGCTGGACTCCCAAGGGCAGGAGGCAAGCCCAAAGAGGTTGCTAAAGGAAAGAAGTAGGAAAAAGTTAGGGGTCGATGCAACCAGTTGTTTTTTTTTTTTTAACCTGCAAATTCACAAAATCATAAGTGTCCCTCAGGATACAGGAAGACCCAGGACTATTACCACCTGTTTTTTAATTTTAGTTTTCATCTCGTTTTCCCAAAGCCCAGGCTTTGAGATGAGTCGTGAGAAATGAATGTTTTAGAACATTCCAGAGTTACAACAGTGAGCCATAAATCGATCAGCAGACGTGAGTGCCAGCAGCAGGTTCTGTCCTGTGCTGAGAGGCAGCACCTGCAGTCTCACTGTCACTTCCCAAAGGACCCCAAGACTCCTGTGGGGTAGCCCGCCTTGCCATACAGACCCCAAGAGAGCACATCCTGTCATGCAGACCAAAGCCAGGCTCTGGCTGCAGGAGCTTAGTCAAGCCCGGGCTACAACCAACAGTCAGTCCCATGTGAGGGGACACTTGTCCACCCACCTAATAACCTCGTCTCAAAAGAGGCAAGAGGGGAAGCCTCCTCTGGGAAAACTGGGAGATAGTGAAGGAAACTACAGGGGATTAGAACAAAGTAGGGACAGCTTTCCCCTCCTCCTAACAGAGGGAGTGATGAGAGGGTCAGGCTCCTGTAAAGGCCATGGGGGGGGGGGGCACCCAGTGGGTGGTTTTCTCCTCTTCTCCCTGGTAGAGGACAGGGAAGTTGGGACTAGCAGAAAGCAGAGGTGCACAGTGCCCTTCCTTGTCCCACCCCAACCCCACTGATGTCTGGCAATGCTAATGGCATCACATGCCAGGGGCTGGGCACCAGATAAGCACTAGATAGTTAGCTACTGTTGTTATTAAGAGGCCCTGGGGCTGGGGTTGTGGCTCAGAGGAAAGAGCGCTCGCCTAAGCATGCCATGCGTGAAGCACCTAGTTCCATCCTCAGCACCACATAAAAATAAAACAAAAAGGTATTGTATCCACCTACAACAAAAAAGATTTTTTTTTAAAAAAAGGCTCTGAACTTTTCTATGGGCCTGAGGAAAGCCAAAGACTTGCTCCCCAGAAAAAACACAAGTATGCATGTATTATATCTGGATCTGAAAACATCCCCGAAGGCTCATAAAGGCTTGGTCCCCAGTGCAGCAAGTTTCTGAGGTGGGGCTTTGGGGAAGTGACAGGATCATGAGGACATTGATCTCACCTGTGGATTAATCCATTGATAAACAGATGGAAGTGGGTGCTATGGCACAAGCCTGTAATACCAGTCACTCAGGAGGCTGAGGCAGGAGGTTGACCTCAGCAATTTAGTGAGACCCTGTCTCAAAACAATAAGAAGGGCTGAGGATGCAATTCAGTGGTAGAGTACCCCTGGGTTCAACACCCAGTACCACAAAAACAAAAACAGTACAAAATGGGGGAGATTATTCTCTGGTGTTTAGCATCAGATGCAGGTCCTACCTCTTGCATCTCCACAATTGTGAGCCAAAATGATTATCTTTTCTTTATAAAGTAGACTGCCTCAGGTATCTTGCTGTAGTCATGAAAAGGGAACTAAAATACCTGGTGAAAGGGCAGCAAAACCTTTGGAACAAGAGGGAACTTGATGTATTGTTGACCCGCTTTTCTAACTATAAAAAAGGAGTGTGTCCTACTTACCTCATAGGATAATGTAAATAGGCACTTGGTAGCGGGAGGTGAGGGCAGTGCCCACAGCTACCCAAGCCATGGTCGTTAAGGTGACTGTCCCTCAAACTCCTCCTCTTCCTCTGCCCACCTCTTAGGAGTGTTCCCCACTGGTCTCCTTATCCACACACAGTTTCAGCTGTCTTGGTGTCCCCCACTCCCCTCTCCAGCCAGGTCCTTCTTAACCCCCAGGCCCTCAGAACAGCTGCCCACTGGTATCTTCTGGTGTGGGTGTTGTCACACCTGGACTCCACGTCTACCCTTCAGGGAGCCTGGGTGTAATTTTTTCATGCCCCCCACCCCGCATCCAGAAGGTCACTGAAGTTTATCTGTATGTGCTAATAAATGTGGCCCCAAGATAGATACTTCTGTTCAGGACACAGCTGAGGACACTTGCCTCTCCTGGACTCTGCAACTTCCTCCCTGGTCCGTGTCCAGCACATCAGCCACACCCTCGTCAGGCTTCCTGGTCCTGCAGGTTTACTCTTAAAGGTCATTCTGTGCAAATCCTCCCCTCCTGCCTAGCAACCTGTATTTCTCTAAGATGCCGCGCTGCGGGGGCCAGCCAGCTCCGCGGAAAGGCCGAAACACTATCCCTGCCATTGGTCAAACTCCCTGGGACCACACATCCCAGCCCTGCCCCGCGGCAATCTAGGGCTTTTGAGAAGCGGTGCGGTTGGCTGGCACCAGCCCCACCTCCAGGTGACCGCGCCAGCTGCTCTGAACCACACCCAACCCMGACGCTGGCCCCTGATCATTATTGTGTTCTCTTTTCCGCGAGGCCGGGGACCCAGTCTCCGCTGCTCCACCTAGTTTAAGCAGGTGACCCACACAACAGAGGCTGCAGACCCCTCCTGAGTGTTGTGGACAGCATTCGGGCCTTGGAGAACCAGCCCGGCTTAGCTTGCGAAGTCCTGCTTCCTCCCGGGCCGCCTAGAAGGACAGGCTTTGCATTCTGTGTCGGGCTGGCAGCTTGCTAGCGCGAAAGAGAACCGAGAACCGCACGTGCAGCTCTGGACAGGCGCTCTGGACAGTCTCCCGGGGCCCTGGCTGGGCTGGGACCGGCTGCAACAGAAGCAGCGACAACGCAGCCTGAATGAAGAACTGGCTCTTGCCCTTGGCGGGGAAGGACAGTGGGGCTTTCTCTAGCCTGGCCTCCCCTCTCCCACGCGGTTGGGTCCCAATTAACGCTCCCTTTCATCGCCCCAGGCTGTCTGTCGCTGCGAGCAACTATGCTGCAGGCAGCAGCGACCCAGCCACCCCCTCCCCGGTTCCATATTCAGAACCCCTCAGTGTCTGACTACATGTCCTCAGATCTCCAGAGCTCAGTTGCGGGAAGGCTGCAAACTAGATGTTCTCCCGAGGGTCCCCTAAAAAACACTCCTCCTCCTCCTCTGAAAAAAACACGTGCGCTTGTGGAAAACACACAAAATCAAAAAAGAAATAATTACATCCAACATTTTGGACCATTTTATACCAAGCTTTTTCTCTGAATACATAAGTTTAAAGTCCCGGGTTTTTCCCCTTAATATAATATTCTCTTTTGTTATTACAGTAACTTTCATTGTTTCTTTTTATTTAACTGTAACATTTTCATTTGAGAATATGCTGAAAAGGAAAAGGGAAATTAAAATCATTTATAATTACCTCCCAGAAAATTAGTTTTGTTCTTTTTGATTTCTTCTCTAGATGTATACTTTAGAWCATTTGAGATTCCTTCAGCTAGGTGCAGAAGCATGACTGTAAACATGCTGCCTTAGCTGCTGCCACCAACATCCTTCACACTGCTATTCTACCTTGTGTTTCCTTTGACAATTAGGAATTTTCTACAATCACAGCCACTCAACTAGAAAACTTGACAAAGGGGCAGGGGAAGGCAATGAATAAGCTTCTGCTCAGGGCCACATCTCCATTTCAATTACATGAATTCTCCCAGCAGAAGACAGCTCTCGAACTGGGGGATGGGGTGAGGAAACAATTCTAAAATGCCTAGATACATATCTTTAAATATAATTAAGATTTCACTAAAAAGGAGCAGTTGACTCTTTTTAAATTTTTAGAAGATGAAATCCAAGGCTGAATGCTCCATTAGTCTGAGCAACAATTTAATATCTCATTTCTAATTTGCCTTGTATAGCCAAACACCTTCTATTGCTAAAAAACTGGATAAATGCCAGACGMAGTAGGAGGCTGAGGCAGGAGGATCACACATTCATAGCCAGCCTGGACAACTTAGCAGGACCTCGTCTCAACAAAATAAAAAAGGGGCTGGGGTAAAAGTCAGCAGTAGAATGCTTGCCTAGCATGTACGTGGCCCCAGGTTCCACCCCAGCTCTCCAAATAACAAAACACTCTAAGAAACCAATGGGTCCTCAGACTCCATCTTCCCACATGTGCCAGCAGCACCTTGTCCTGGTGTTAAGAGCTGATAGCACCCAGAGGCAGGAAGGGTGTGGTCCACTGTGCTCTCACTGGTCACTGTGTACCAGGCCTGGGTCCTGGTACAGGTGCCTTTTTTCTTTTTCTCTAAGTACAAATGGTTAATCAAAGAGAAGCCAAAATAGGAAGAAAAAAATCAGTTGGCTGTCCCTCTGGGTCCTCTTAAAAGAAAAGTAGCAAAGAACCTTGAGGGTTTGGGTCATTTCTTTGGAAAATACACTTTGAGTATCATAATTTACAAATCATCTTCACATACTTCATCTGGTAAACACTGAGGACCAGAAAGCAAACTATGTGCCCAAAGTGACATAAATAGCAARCAATGGAGTTAAATTGCAAGCCTGGGACTCCTAGTCTTATGACAGTCCCCGAGGCCATGCACACTCGCCTAGGTTTGGGGGGAGAGGGGCATTTTCCATGTCTCTCAAAAGGCTGATGAAGCTCTTCCCCAGCTGGGTCTTGGCAAGCACTACAGCAAGGGATTCATAGCCATCAACTCAAACTCTGCGCCGGGTCAGGTCCTGACAAGGTAGTTCCAATATTGGGAGTGAAGTGAAAGAGGGCATAGCCTGAGTTTGCATATCAATAGCATTTAATCTTATCAAGAATTTCATGGACTGGGGTGTAGTTCAATAATAGAACATGCAAGAGGCCCTGGCTCAAATCCCTACATTGAAAAAAAATTTCATAAACGAGGAAACTGAGGCTCAAGGGTAAAGTGACTTCTTAGGCAAAGGGAACTTATCAAGTTTCCCCTCAAAAACCCAGTTGAAGCCATCGTGCCCTCATTTCAACAGCAGCAATGAGGCTGGGTGATGGCTAGTCCTGGCCTCGAGGAGCTTGCAGTCAATCTTTCTGAGAGGTCTGTGATCCAGTCTGGCTAGGAAGGGAACCTTTTTCTTCTTCCAGGCAGTGGTGGGCTCCTGCTTTCTGCGGCACCCACGGGGCCTCCGCAGGGTCCAGAGAGCTTGCTGGGTCCACAGCAGAACCTCACTGATAAACCAGGCCTGTTGCCCACTGTTATCAGAGCAGGCAACATGCTCATCTTCCTCGGCTAGCCACCAAGAGAAAATGAACGAGCAACATCATCCAGTTCACTTCCCAACAGCCAATTAGAGCAGTGAGAAGAGTACAATAGATCAATAAAAAGTGACAGCAGACAGGRTTGTAAACTCTGCTCTCAGTTGTGCCACTGAACCCGAAATGTGCCAAACCATCGTCACCACCGAGAGGGGCCCCAGAGCTGCCCCGTCAGTGCTGCAAGGCCTGTTACAGCTCAGGTCCTGGGAACTGGGCCCTGGTAGACTCCACATCAGTGAGCGCCCTGTGCTAAGCTCAAGACAGGCAAATGCCACACTCAAGGGAAGTGCCACTACACCGAAGCCATCGTGACACTATTTGCAAAAAACCTGCAAGAAAACCCTGCAAAGCTGACCACGGTGGTGCATGCTGAGGCAGGGCGATGGCTTGAGCCCYGCCAGGACAACATAACAAGACCCTGTTCCCAAAACAGACAACTACTCACTGTGGTGTTATGAAAACCCTTCTGATGGGAGACAGCATGTCTTTAGCACGGCAGGATTCTTCCCTCTCCACTAGAGACCCAGAGTTGGCCCCTGGGCAGGCAGGGTGGCAGTGAAAAGCGCTGCAAAGGGGAAATCAAAACCCGGATCCTGCTCCCCAGGCCGCCTGAACCAGCTGCACTAACCAGGCAAGTCAATCCTCTGCCTGGGCTCAGAGTCCTTATCTCAAAACACCAGGGCATGCCTGGCCCTCAGCTTCAGATGCTCAGTGTTTCATGTATTCCATGGAGTTAGCTAAAGGGCTGAAATGCTAAGTGTGAACTGCCTGACTTCAAAAAACCTCTGAGTGCTGGGGGGGACCCAGGGCTTCGCTCATGCCAGGCAAGTGCGCTACCCCTGAGCCCCAGCCCAGCCCAGCTTTCAGGAGAACTTAGGGCTCAAAATGAAAGTAAAGGATGAAAAGAAAGAAATGAAAGCAGGGAGACACTTCAACTTGAAACCCTCTTGGTCTTAGAAYAGCAAAGTAATGAGTTCAGATAGTTCGGGAGGAATAGAAAAGTACAAACTGCAAAACAGGAAACCCATTCTTGGCTGGCTGTCAAAAAGCCATGTACTGGTGAAAACTGAAATCTATTTTAATTTGTAGTTTCTTAAAACTAATAGAGCTGGGGCTGGGCTTGTGGCTCAGTGATAGAACGCTCRCCTAGCACACGGTGAAGCACTGGGTTCAAACCTCAGCACCACATAAAAATGAAATAAAGATACTATGTCCATCTACAACTAAAAAATAAAAACTAATAGAGCTGCCAAATTAGTGAACTACTGAGATGCCTGCCACTGAACACTGCCTTGCTATTCTCTGACCAGGGTTGAGCCCCTCGATTTATTCAGCCCTGTGTCTGAGGCTAAGGCAGGCACTGCCGTGCCAGCTGATATTTGAGCCCCATGCATGCTGACCGTCTCTCTGCACGGAGCCATCAGCTTTTGAACTCACAGGGTCCCCAGTTTAAACATCTTCGGTTTCTCCAGTGCCTCGCCCACGGTGCTCCCAACAGTTACTGAATGATGAAGAAAAGTGCTTACCATCTCTTCAGGTGCCTCAAACTATGCGGCAAGGATTATACCTCCAACCTAAGTTTACACAACAAAAGCATTTTTTAAAAAGGCACTTTCTAGAGAAAAAAGAGCTTAGAAAAATGAGCTTTATAAGCACTGAAGCCAGATTCTATAGAAAGCAGAAAAATAATTTATTCCAAAAGATGGCAGAAGTAAGAAACTCATCCTGAAGGTACAGCTTGGTGTCAATCTGCTGGGACAGCTCTCCCCTCTGAGTACGCTCTCCTCCTCACCGCCCTGCGGGAGCTGCATGCATCCTGCCGCAGTGCTGTGTGCAGGCAGGAGCTCTCCGCATCTGCAGATGCCAGGCGAGAGGAGCTTTCCCAAGAGAAGAGCACAGGCAACCAGCTCAGTTGGTAGGCACTTCGTTCATCAGAGTGTAAAAAGGTGAAGGAGAAAATACTGCACTGCAGGGCAGGGCTTCAGGGGTGTTGGGAAGGGGCACAGATGCCCAGAGAGGCGAGTCCAAGAAGGCAATCTGGGTGTAGAGGCGATCCGCAGCTAGGAGGCATTCTCCTCACCACCTGCAAAACACAATTGTTCCAGTAACTGGTCCCCAACCTTCCTCCGGAGAGCAAAACCAACGTCAAGAAAGTTAATCAGGCAAATGCTTTAAAACAGGCAGGTACTCAAAAAGTCCTTCAACAGAGCAGGCGCAATCACCATGCAAGTGTGGGCAGGTTTTGCAGGGCTGGGTAAAGCTCCTATTACCAAGGACACTGCTGAACTGTCACAGTGCACAGTAAGTCTGACCATGTTACAGAAAACAGAAAGCATGAAGCCAAGACCAACAGTACTGGGGTCCAATGGGTTCTCCAGGGTGGCGAGCGCCAGAGCGCCTGTGTTCTCCCCTCCCCTCTCATAGATCCAAAGCTCTCCTCCAGTGGCCACTCCCCAGGAACAGGCTCCATGTCCTGTCCTCAGGACTCCRGGTGGCCTTCCAGGTTGCTCCCTATTCTGACTACCACAAGTAAGCATAGGAGAAAAATGAGTCTCTTTTCCTAGTATGGTAACTGCAATACCACCCTTGCAAAGCTGGAAAATACATAAAGAAAGTATCTTCACAGAGTCAACTGCCTACAGTGCTTGCACAACGCCTCCATAGAAAGTCTCTGTTGGGCGGGTCTGTAGCTCAGTGCTGGAGCGCTTGCCCAGCATGCGGGAGGCCCTGGGTTTGTCCCCAGCACTGCAAAGAAAAGTCTGTTTCTGATGTCTATATAAATAAAGCCCCTTGCTGGGTGCAGTGGCACATATCTATAATCCCAGCAGCCGGGAGGCTGAGAYAAGAAGATTGCGAGTTCAAAGCCAGCCTCAGCAAAAGCAAGGCACTAAGCAACTCAGTGAGATCCTGTCTCTACTTAAAATACAAAATAGGGCTGGGGATGCAGCTAGTGGGCAAGTGCCTATGAGTTCAATCCCCAGTACCCCCCCAAAAAAAATAAATAAAAAATAAAGCCACTTATGCTACTTTTGAAATTAAAAAGGCAATAAAGAAACAAAAATTTAATCATCGCTGCTGCCTTTTTTTGGGTACCGAGGACTGAACCTAGTAACTTGGGAAGCCAAGGAAGGAGGATCACAAGTTTGAGACCACTTGGGCAACTTAGTGATGTGTCTCAAAAAAAAAAGAAAAAAAAAAGAGGTGGGAATGGAGATATGGCTCAGTAATAGAATAGAGCCTCACTGGGTTCAATCCCTAGTACTGCCAGAGACAGAAAGAGAACAGAAAGAAGAAATCAAGCTGGCTATATGGCACACAATGTGCCTAAGTGTGAAAACTGTGGGGGCGGAGTGCTCATGGGTGTGAGTGGCAGGGATGCTTGTTCAACACACAGTCATCAGGCAGGTCTGACAAGGCTGACGGTCACAGACAAGCAGCAACACCTGATGGGCTTAGATCTTCCAACTAGTGAAACGACAGAGAACCCACTGTGCAGCATGGTGAACCTAGAACCCAAGTTGCCCAGGACTATAGGACTATAAATTGCCCTTCTGGAGCAAGCTAGCTGGAGTCCCACTAAGGTAGGACACGTGGACAAAGCACATTCAACCCACGGTTAATAGAGGAGCTGGGATGTGGCTCAGTGGTGGGGCGAAGAAAAAATAATGACTAGAAGCTTTTTTACAATGCACTAGGAAAAGGACACCAGGCCAAGGAGTGGCAATGACCAGGCAATGACCAGGGTGATGTGGCTTTCGTGGTCTGAAGGCCTCAGAAAACCTGTTGCTCTAATAATCGTTCTGTGTTCCCCTCCCTGGGCCAGCAGAACAGGCCCTGGGTGAGCCCTGGTGCAGGCAGAATGCAAGCTCCCACAGGGAACCTCAAGTAGGGAACCCCGAATAGGGAACGCGTCGCTGTGTGCGACTTCCCATGAAGAGCACACTGACCAGACTTCCTCAGTGCTGAGKCCATTTGTGACAAAAGACAATCACAAGGGAAAACACAGGCCCTCACTTCTGGGAAACCTCACACAATGGGTTAAGTGCCACTCGATCTCACCATACCAGTTTGAAATCAATGCGAGCATTGTACTCAAAAGCACTATCTTACGGTTTGATTTTTGGAGTTAGTGAAGGACACACAGAATCTCCTGTCCTATGACATAGCTGTTTGGGGTGTGGCTGGAGAACTCAAACAAAGGGTTCACATTCTCATCTCAAAAGCGAGGGACTAGCTAGGTGAACATCAGATAAAACTGAAAGGCAAGAGGACCATCATGACCAGATCCAAGAAACCTGTTCAGCCCGTGAAATGGTCGACTGAGGCCAGAGGACTCCACCACTGAGCCAYACCCCAGCCCTTTCACTTTATTTATTAACTTGGTATTGGGGACTGAACCCAAGGGTGCTTTACCACTGAGCTATATCCCAGCCCTTCTTATTTTTTGAGACAGGGTCTCACTAATTGTCCAGGCTGGCCTTGAACTTGTGATCCTCCTGCCCTAGTCTCCAGAGTTGCTGAGATTACAGGCATGTGCCACCACACTCGGTGTGAATGTATTTCTTAAAAGATACGTATGTTAGGTTTAATTTTAATTTTTTCCTTTTAGATAAATTTGCAAAAGAAGTCCTTGTGTATGATGGTGTGTAAAGTGTGTACCCAAACCACAGGTACACAGATTTACCAGTCCAAGGCCATGGGCTCAAAACTGAAGAGCTGAATGCATTTAGGGATCAAAGCAAGCACTCTGAAACCAGGTGGCCCCAAAAGAAGTGTGAGGATTTGGGGTGCGCACACTAAGAAAACACCAGAAGCACCGAGGCGGCAAGCGGAGGTGAGAGCTCGAGGGGTGCCCACAGGAGTGGTTCCTAWTCTGCTTCTGAGGTTGGTGTAGGACTTGGAGGCAGGAAGGCTAGGTAAAGCTAACTAGGTCAAAAACACGAAAATAGTCACATCGACCCTCGGTCACAGCCGGAAGCAGTGAAAAGAAAGGACATGAAGGTGGTTTCAGGACAAACAGGAAGGCCTTGCCAGCCAAGCCAGAGTGCTGGACAAACTAGCAGATTAGACATTCCTATCACTTGTGGCTCACAGGACCTTTGGTGACCCTGACAAAAACTGTTTACTGAGATTTTACACTGCATTTCTAGGGGCATGTGGCACTAAAATCAGGGACCCCGGGTTAAAAAAGCAATAACAACCCCTAGCTGTTCAGGGAGAAGCGCAGCAAGTTTCTGGGGCAAGCAGTGACATGTCTCAGGCAGTGCTCCACAGGCAGGACTGGTGGGCTACTCTGAGGCAGTATTTCAGAGACAGGGAGACCAGGTGAGGGCCACTGTCGTGGTTCCCAGATGCACTGATCTGGGTCAGAAATTAGGGTGGCTAGGGGAGTGGGCAGCAGATCAGAAGCATGACAAGAGCAGCTGTCCCTGTGCAAAAGGAGAAAGGAGTGACGGGACAGGTCCATCCCGAGTGACAGAGGGAAACGAAGAATGGCAGATTATCTGCTAGAGAGGATGGAGACTGGAGCCGTGAGACATCCTGCACCCTTCAGCACACCCCAGGTGTGGCTCAAGTTCCACCTCCCAACACATGGCTTGCCCTTCGGCGCCCACGGCCTTCTCTGAAACCCTTGCTCAGTATCACACCTCAGTGCRCCCAAACATTTTTGGAATGCACAGAAAAACAGCTCCCACAGGGTAGAGGTCTTGCTACCATCACTCTCTATTCCTCTCTCATCCTAGGCTTTAGGGTAAAGCCTCTGCCCTGTAGGATCATGGTACAGCATAAGACAGTGTGTGGTAGCCCAGCTAACTTCCAGGACACTGGATATGAACCCCAAGGCTGAAGGAGGTGTACATCGTGAGGCTGCAACTTGACAACAGTCACAACTGTAGCTCTTTACTGGGACTGAACCCAGGGCACTCAACCACTGAGCCACATCCCCAGCCCTTTTTGATATTTTATTTAGAGACAGAGTCTTGCTAAGTTGCTGGGGGCCTCGCTGAGGGGTCCAGGAGGAGCAGACAAGGGTGGCGGTGGGCAGAGGTGCAGCGAACACTGTTCTCCTGAGGACTGAGCCACACTTCCAGCCCAGAAACAGAGTGCATAGTTTGGACGGCCTCACCAGTGACTGCGCTCAGCTCGGCACACATGAAGGAAAACCATGACAAGCAACCCAAGTAGCAAAAAGTCAGTCAGGTGCTTCACAGGACATGGTTAAGACTGACTCAGGTTCACCTGCATGGAAGTCTTCTTGGGCTGGGGAGCAGCTCAGCAATAGAGACCCGTGTTTAGCATGTACAAGGCCCTGGGTCCAATCCCAGCACCAAACCAAAACCCAAACCAAAATATTCTAAAGCTTCCCTGATTGACCCTCATTTTTCTCTGCGAATACCATGTCTGACTCATACCCCTTTARATCTACCCACACAGGGTTATTCGGTATCAAAGGGTCCAATTCTCTTATTGGATAGGAAGCAAACGAAGCCTGCCATTCCTGCCATTCCCAGCTTTTTTTCTAAACCTGGTCCCTTAGAGAAATCGTGTACCAAATCAAATCCCTCCTCATAACTATCAACATCTCAAATCTAGTTTCTGTACTATATCATCTTCCTGTTATGAAAAAGTTCAAAGTTCAAAAGGTGAATAGAGTGCAATCTTTTGATTTTTTTTTTTAGTTGTCAATGAACCTTTATTTTTTTTTTTAGTTGTAGATGGACACAATACCTTTATTTTAGACAGCTAGAAAGCCTGGCTTGAGGAAGTAACCGCTTGAGCTAAAGCCGACCCACCTTTATTTTATTTGTTTATTTTTATGTGGTGCTGGGGTTCGAACCCAGTGCCTCACACATGCTAGGCAAGTGCTCTACCACTGAGCTACAACCCGGGCCCAATGAACCTTTATTTTATTTATTGATATGTGGTGCCGAGAATTGAATCCAGTGCCTCACACATGCTAGGCAAGYACTCTACCACTGAGACATAATCTTTTGATTTTTACCACCAAGATAAGTAAGGGCCCATCTTCAGAGTTCTATCTGTTTTAATGCTAAGCAGAGATAGAGCTTTTTTATTTTTTTTCTTTTATTGAGATGGGGTCTGTGTTGCCCAGGTTGGTCTCAAACTCCTGGGCTCAGAGGATTTGCCTGCCTCAGCCTCCGTGAGTAGCTGAGACTAATCTCATGTGCCCCCATGAGATTAGACTTCTTGATGTGATGATAACTCTGAAGTCCTAGAACTATGGAACTGTTGTAAAAGTGTCCAGTGAAGAAGAGGTATGATTCCATGCCCATCATACGGGACCTGAGGACGTGCTCTCGTGCTTCCTGGGACTTTGCTCTTAAAGGAATGACCTTCAATACAAGGTTTCAAGCAGCCTGCACACATGTGTGGACCAGAGCGCAAATGCTAGATGTGTGCCTGTCAATCAGCTTACCAGGTGCAGAGACAGAAAACACACAGATGGAACCTCTTTAGATCTACCCACACAGGGTTATTCGGTATCAAAGGGTCCAATTCTCTTATTGGATAGGAAGCAAACGAAGCCTGCCATTCCCRGCTTTGAACCCCAACCAACAACCTCACCTAACATTTGCTATAGTTCAAAAGAATGGCTGACCAGGTACGGTGGCACACACCTGTAATCCCGGCAACCTGGGAGGCGGATGGCAAGTTCAAGGCCAGCCTGGACAATTTAGTGAGACCCTGTCTCAAAAAATGGCTGGGGATTTGGCTCAGTGGCAGAATGTCTGTGGGTTCAGTCACCAGTACTACACAGACACACACAAAGGATGTGCTGAAGATAGGGCAGGTAGGGGAAAAAAACACGAGTTAAATAAAATCATAAAAAAGGGGCTGAGGATGCAGCACACTGACAGGGTGCCCTGCTTACAATCCCGAGCACTACAAAGAAAGAAAAAGAAACCAAAATTCCTTTTGGCAAAGGTAAGGCTAAGTGGGGAGAAAAGGCTGACTACTTGCCTCTCACTCTGAGAAACAGGCACTACCCTAACTGGCGGTGGGAACGCAAGGACCCCTGTGGGAGGGAAGGCAGCAATCTCCAGAAAGACAGCAGGTAGGTGCCTGAATCCCAGAGACTCCATTTTCAAGCAATCTCCCTAAAGGTCACAGCAAAACTACAAAATAACATATACAAAAGATGGTAGTGTGGCTTTATCAACAACAGCAAGACTGGACACAGCCTCTGACACTATTTTACACACGCGTGCACACAGACACACTTGCACATTTTTCTCCATGGTTTCTGGCTCACAATCCCCGCCCCCAGGCAGGCTTAGAAACCAGAATCTCTCCGCCCTAAGGGGGCACAGGAAACTCTGATCGCCCCTGTCTTGGAGCTGGCCACAAAGAGATCCTTCAACCTGCCCCATCTGTTGGCAGGTCACAGACCCTGCACTCCAGAGAGTCCCACCCCACACCCTAGAGGGCAGGAGGCTGCAGAGAGGCCAGAAAAACCTGGGCCTCTCAGGGCTTTCCCGCCCGGTCTGCTGGTGTTAGATGTGCAAGGAGGTCTCCATRAACACCCAGAACAGGGCTTGGTGAGCGTGGAGGCTGCTGAAGCAGCAGACCCTGCACCACGTGCCTTGCCCTATGCAAAGAACGTGTCTGGATCCTCTATAAAAGCAGCAGGTGTGCTTCCTGGAGTTCTGTGAGCCACTCATCCAACCTGAGAGGTTATGGGAACCCCAACTATGGCCAGTGGGTCAAAAGMACAGGTGAAACAAAGTGGGGTTGGCAACTGGTATCGAAAGCCCGGAGCAGCCTTGGAGACTGAGCCCTCAACCTATGGGATCTGACACCATCTCCAGGCGGACAGTGTCAGAGCTGAACTGGATTAAAGGACACTGAGCTGGAGTGCCTGCTTGCTTGGTGTGTGGAGAACTCCTCGCCCCCAACATCTGGTGTCAGAGTGATCTGTGTTGAGAGGAGAAGAGAACAGGAGAAAGCAAGTCTGAGTCACAGCTGGCTTTCCTGTCTGTATCCTCAGACAATGGCAAGGACATCAATGGCTGCAGGAGACGAGGAAGGTGTCTGCATGTCAGTAAGCAACTACCTCTAGCACATGTTATTGGTGAATAAAACAAGGTACAGAATAGTACAATCTTTTCTGTAACAGCTGTGTGTGTGTGTGTGTGTGTGTGTGTGTGTRTGTGTGTGTGTGTATAAAATCTTGGTAAAATGAAACACTGGAAGACAGACTTTTATGACTATATCTTGTTCATGATTTCAACTGGAATTATGTTTTATTTTGTTTTGGGCACTGGTAATTCAACCTAGGGCACTCTGCCACTGAGCTATATCACCAGTCTTTTTATTTTTTATTTTGACACAGGGCCTCACTAAGTTGCTGAGGCTAATCTCAAAATAGCAATCCTCCTGCCTCAATCTCCTGAATCGATGGGATTAAAGGTGTGTGTCACCATGCCCAGCAATGGCTGAAGGATCTTGATGTTACCAGAAAGTGTGGGAACAAAAACTGATATCAAAATGGCAATAGCCGGGGCTGGGGTTGTGACTCAGCAGAAGAGTGCTCGTTAGCACGTGTGAGGCCCTGGGTTTGATCCTCAGCATCACATAAAAATAAATAAAACAAAGGTATTGTGTCTAACTACAACTGAAAAATAATTTTTTTTTTTTAAATGGCATAGCTGCCGGGCAGGGACACACACACCTGTAATTCCAGCAGCTCTGGAGGCTGAGGCAGGAGGATCACAAGTTCAAAGTAGCCTCAGCAAAAGCAAGGCGCTAAGCCACTTGGTGAATGTCCAAGTTCAATCCCTGGTATTCCCCTACCCGCCCCCCRAAATCTGTTGGCTCAATCTAAGACCAGGGGATTCTCCTGAGAATSGCCCAAGTTCTAAATGTACTTCTGCTCTTCAGGTCACTCTGCTTTCAGCAGCTGGCTCCTGCACAGTGTTAAACTGGCCAAAAGAGTCTGAGAAGCTGTCAAGGCCACYTCCAGCCACCCCACAGCAATACTACTGTGAAAGGTCCAGAGCAAAGTCACCTGGAAGACTGGGCGCTGCCGTGTCCCTCCTCAAGGCCAGTGGTACCTCAGATACCAGATGGTTTCATTCTTCAACTGTGGTCCAAAGAGAGGGTTGAGCTGAGCCAGAATTGCAATCAGCCAACTGAAAAAAAATGACAGAGAAGAACAGAATGTGGTGAACTCATGTTGGAGCAGGAGCATTTTCATTTAGGATGTCAGAAGCACGAATCTTCAATACACACTGTGTTCATGGGAGCAAGTCTGACAACAAAACATTTCCCAAATAGCCAAGCTTTGACTTCAGCCCGCCGGCTTCCATTAGACCAGAACACACCACGCTTCTCTAGCCATACCACTAAGACACGTAAGAGCACCTGTGGAGCTGGACCAAGTGGGCATTTAGCTTCGGCTGCTTGGTTCAGAATCTAAACAGCAAGGCATGCCCCTGTACTCCAAACCAACACGGAAGAAGAACAATAGTAAAGGTGAAAGATGGCAGTTATCTTTTAAATGTGCTTATGTTGTTCAGAAAGTTCTGAATAAATGGTTTTGTACCTACTAGAGTAATTCATATGCCCAATGATATTTGAGTATTGCTGAGCTAAGACCAAAAGAGCAAGAAGAAAGATATTAAGCAAATGTCTGGCCACTCAAGTCATTCCATGGTCAACATCCTACACAAATATTTAATGAACACGTACTAGGTTCCAGGCTCCAGAAGTACAATGGAGAAGAAAAAAAATGTCACTAACTTCATAGAACTTACATAAGGCCAGGCAATAAATACCATAAAGAAAATAAAGCAAGGAGTAGTAGAAAATGGCTGAGGGTATCGTACTTTGACAGGACGGTCAGGAAGGGCAGTAACCAGAAAGAAACAGAGCACATGCTGCCGTTAGCTCCTATTCACAACACAAGCGTCAACCAGAACTTCTCCATGGCAGGTGGGGGGACTGCAGGCCCAGCTTCCACCTACTGCCATACAGTGATACCCCATGCTCCCCTCCCCACAGGGGCCCAGAGCATGCTTTCTGAGGAGCAGGAGAGATACGGCAGTGGACTCCTGAACTTTCAGGACCCTAAGCTCCCCTGTGCGAAGAGAACTAGCCAAACTCAACCAGGCAGTCATCAGGCGGGCCCTCTCTTCCTGGGTGCTGTCATCCTGGGATTCTTCCAAGGGATCAGAAGGTGGACTTGAGCACGAGGAAGGGAGGACAGGGCACTGGCCAGAATAYAGGAGTAGTGGTGCCCCAGGCCAGGCACTGCCCTCCCCGTCCCACAAAGGTAGTTCTGACACAGGAAACATAATACTTGAGGAAATCAGGCCAAAACAGATACCGCAAGCCGGCWCACTTTATAAACAAAAGTTAATTCAGATGCAACTCTGATCCGTCCTTAGAACGAGGGTATTAACACAAACACAAGACAGGATGGTAGTGGGTTCACCCTCCACCTGCCATCAGAGAGGAGGCCCCGCAGACACGCTGGAGCGCTGGGCCACAGTCACCACTGACGGTGCAGAGCTCAGAGTGATGGAAAATTCCACCCAACCCAGGATTTCCCCAAGTCCAGCAGCCAATATGAGCTGCTGCAGAAGCAGCTGACCATGTTTCATAAGAGGCTGAGACAATGGCCAGTGCTCGGAAATACTAAATAAAAAAGGATGTCGGGACCTAAACCAGCCTGTCTCCTTTCATCACCAAGAACATACAGTATGGAAAAAAGTGAGMGCCTCCTGCGTGTGGGGGGCCATTCTTGGGAGTGGTGGCTCCCAACCCTGGCTGGCTACACAGCACAGCATCCTGGAGCTTCCCAGATGTGCTGTGGCCACCCCACCCCCCACCTTCCATTTCATCCTAACACTACCGGGGAGAGAAAGGCCAAGTGATCTGCTTTGGTCACAATGCTAATTAGGTAGTAGCAGGTCTTAGAGCAGAAACCAGGCCAGCTGGGTGTTCCCACTATAGAAACCGACCTTTTGACATCTTAACTGAGAGCATCTCAGAAGGCAAGAGCTTAGCCAGAACCCTGCTGGAGAGCCCATCTGCTGGATGTCAAGTCCACCACTCCCTTTGGCACGCGGTAGGAATACAGCGCGGAGGACAGAAGGAAGGCTACTGTAGTATTCAGTATTCAGGTGCTGGGGTCAAACACAGGGGCATTCACCACCAAGTCACATCCCCAGCCCTTTTTACTTTTTATTTTCAGAAAGAGCCTTCAGCTGCCCAACCTGGCCTGGAACATGCCATCCTCCTGTCTCAGCCTCCAGAGTCACTGGGGTCATAGGCGTGTGTCACCATACCCAGACAGAAACTTTCTGAATTTGGTTTTACACTTTTTTTTTCTTTTTCTTTTTGAGATGGAGTCTCACTGTGTTGCCCAGGCTGGCCTTGAACTCCTAGACTCAAGTGCCCTAGCCTCCAAGTACTCACTATTTTTAATGTTTCAAGTCAAGCAAAAAACAAAGGACAACAATAACAACCCACTTTAAGAGCAAAACCAACAAAGCACAGTTCAAGAAAATTCCTCGGGAAGCAGGCCAGCTAGCTCATTTGAAACTGCACAGAGGAATTTCCGCTGGAGCCAGCTGAGCTCCGYGCCCGCTTGCCACTACCTCCTGATGTCAGAAATGCCTGAAAAGAGCAGGCACACGGCGTGCTGCAGGAGAAGAGCCCACAGCGCGCCGATGGAGGGGCACGTCCAGAGAGGGACTGGACATGCCCTTCCCTGCGCCCCAGCTGTCCACGTCTTCCTCACCCGAGGGCCAGCCCTAAGCCCAACCAGAGTCTTCAGGCTCCCCAGACAGCCATGGGCAGTGGACACTTCAGAGGACGGCAGGGCTGCGATGGATCAGGGATGAAGGATGAGGAAACAAGTCCAGAGGGCCTAACACCCCACAGGGATCAGTGCGAGAGCTGGAAGGGTGCCCAGGCCTCCGACTCCACTACACCAGTTGCCTCCATGAGGCACTCGGAGGAGTCCAACCCCCAGCCGAGGGTGCCTCACTTCCCAGCCACTCCACACCACATCCCGCACTGGACTGGGTGGACAAGTCAGCCTGAGAAACCAGGAGCCACACATAAGAGACAATGGTGGCAGTAAGGGCCTAGACAGAGAGAAGCCTGGGCACTTTTAACTGACAAACACTGCCCTGCAGCCCAGGCTGGGCTGAGCTCCTGGTTCTCAGAATTCTCCAGTGTCATCTGCGCCCTCACCACAGCGGGGCTCTATTCGGCCCTTGTCATCCTGCTGTGCTCTCTGGTCCATAGTCAGATGCTGGAACAGGGAACAAAGGCACAGGTTACTTCCTGGTGATGGTGACACACAGATGGAGAGACCGGACTTTGTCCAGCTTCCCTGTTGGCAGGGGGAAGTCTGCAAGCACCACTCTACTGATGGACCCTCTGTCCCTACAGCCATACAGCCAGGGCGGGAGAGGAGTGACCTCTGCCGGTGAGCTCCCAGAGACAGCAGAAACGCGGGTAAGAGACCTGCCCTGGCTCCATTAAGGTGGCCTCTGTCAAGTTATCTGATTTATGACACCAGTACTTTCAAGGGCAGCAAGGTTGGGACTCGATATTGGGGTGCATTTTAAGTCTAGCTGTGTCAACAGCCAGAGTGGCTCAGACAGATGATCTCACAACCCCACGCCTGGTTCCCTGTTTGTAAAATACAAGTGACAATCCTGCCGAGGTGCTGAGAATTTCAGAGCTAACACCAGTGCTGTGTGCAGTGGCTAAGGAGCAGACCTTCACCTTCGCTGGCCGTGCCCTTCCTCTGTGGGCAGCTCAAAACATATTCAAGCCGCGCARGGCACTGCCCACTCCTCACCTCAGGAGTTTCCCACTCGGCTCCCACCTCCTCTGCCGCGCTGGCAGGCGGCTCCCCCAGGTTCCCACCCCCGCTGCACACACSCCCCGTAAAGCCCTGGACAGTGAACACAACCTATAACTTCCAATGATTAGAACGGGTCACGCCACACGGTGGGATTTAAGAAAAGGAGATGACCCTGCATGGACCTGACCAGACCTGGTGAGTCCCTCAGGACAGGGCCCCGCCTGCCTGCAACTGCACGGCGTGTCTCGGACCTCCTGTCTCAACTCCAAGCACACCTTGCAATACCAGCTCAGGAGTCCCTCTTTCTCCTTGAAGCCAGTGTGACGTTCAGCTCAGTGTTCTACAGTGGAGAGAGCCGGGAGACTGGGCAGGAGCAGGCTGGTGGGCCAGGGAGTGGGCTTGGGGACATTCAGTGAAGTCTGCCCAGGCTCAGGCCCCAGGCACGGTCCCTCTTTGATCTGGTGGCCTCRCCCAGCAAGACATGGAAACCAGATGGCCTGTGCACTTGGCAGCCCTCCTGCTTGCACAAGCACAAGGACCTCCATAACGCAGCAAGGCCATGGGCCACCTGCCTCCTGTCTAGCAGCTCCACGCCAACTCGGGTCTGGCCAAACCCACGAAGGCCCCTGCTCTCTGCAGACTCTGTGGTCCAAATCCCTTCCAAGGTGTCGTTCCGTGGGCAGGCTCCCTGTGTACCATGAGCAGTTTCCTTTTGCCTTACAGTTCCTCTTTTACCCCTGTTAATGCTTCTTTATGTTAAACCTGCCCTGCTGAACCCACTGTGCAGACTATCTCCTCACAGGACCCAAATTGCTACAGGAAGACAAAGATTTGACAGAGGAGATCCTGATACTAGCTTTGAAGATGGAGGGGCCCCTGTAGCCAGGACCTCCAGGATCTGACAGTGGCCCCAACCATCAGCCATCAAGGAAGCAGAGACCTCAGCTCCAGGAACTGGCAAGGCCACAAGAGCTTGAGAAAGAACGGCAGGCTCTGGAGGAGAAAGCCTGCAGTGCCTTCCCTACTGCACACGGCACTACCTGGCCGAGGCCCCTTACAACCGGGAAATGCCCTGTTTTTGCCAGTTTTAAATTGGAAGCACCCTCTTTTTCTTCCCTCCATACTCAAGGCTCACTTCCTATCCCAAGCCTTCCAACTCGAAATGTGTCGCAACCCTCTTTTTTCTTTTTGCCTGGAGACAGGACAGGGTCTTTCTATGCTGCCAGCTCAGGATGGTCTCAAACTCACAGGCTCAAGCACTCATCTTGCCTCAGCCTCTCTAGTAGCTGGGACTATAGGGGATGT